GGGGGGGGGGGGGGGATGGATGGATTTAATAGATTTCAACTACATGAAAGATGGTTCCAAAGAGAATGGAGCTGCATCAGTAACAGATAACAGAACAAGGAGCAATAAGGTGAAGTTGCAGCAAGGGAGGTTTAGGTTAAATATCAGGAACCTTCTTGTGAGGAGGGTAGTAAAACACTGGAACAGGTTACCCAAAGAGGTGGTGGACACTCCATCCTTGGAGGCTTTTAAGACTTGGTTAGACAAAGCCTTGGCTGGGATGATCTAGCTGGGGCTGGTCTTGCTTTGAGGGAGCATTGTGGTTCTGTGAATTTTTTTTATTTTGGCAAATAATTCTCACTTGTGCTAGGACTCTGAATGCCAAGGAAATTTAGACATGACCTATTCACTTCTACCCCAATGTGAATGATGATGCTGTAACTTCACACTGTAGTTTATTATTTCGATAATAAATTTTATAATAATCTGCATCATTTTAACTAAGGTTTATATATAGCGGTAGACCCTACTAAGTTAGTTAAAGCAAGTATTAAGTAAAACCATTCTTCTGCTTTGCTCTTTCTCTGTTAAAATGTAGGTTGTTTTGCTGTTCACTTCTGGCCACCTTCCATCCAACACATTAATGTTTTATTAAGTAATCCTGATAAATATGCCTATGTCATTGTTGTTTCATATTATAACACAACACTAATTATTTAGAATCGTATTATTTCTATTATCATTACACTATTACAGCAGTATTACACTAGTATTAGTATTACAGCATTATTACTATTACTGTTATTACTATTTAATCTTCTAAATGATAACAATGGTACCAAGTGAACTGTAATTATCATTTAGACTAGAAACTTTTTAGGGCTTTTTAGGGAATCTTGTTTTAATAACTGGCAGTATATAACACATTGCAAAGGCCGTGCAGATGCATAATAGTATTTCTGTCCAGAAAATGCAAGCACTACCAACCGGTCCTAGTTAAAGCAGTTCCAGGAATAGCTTGGATAGAGAAAGGAAGGTAGGAAGACTTTAACATTATTATTAGTATTTTGCCTTATTTTCTGAAATGAGTTAAACCTTGATGTCACTGACCATTCCTGAAATACCTTGAAATGAAGCCCCAATTTAAAAAACAACCCCCCCCCCCCCCAAAAAAAAACAGTAGTAACGCCCTGGGGTTTGTTTTAATTCTGCTTTGATGCCTGCTTGTCACTTCGTGGAACAAGAACCCTACCTATAACTTAAAACTCACTGACACAACTATGGTTCATTGCAACGGCCATTACACTTAGTTACTGCAGGGGATTCTTTGCTAAGAATGATTATTCCCATTTTAGTATCAATGTTTTCACTAATGAAGTGGCCCAGCACTCGCAGGGCGTCGGGCCCCTGGTCGGATGAGGAAGCAGGGCGCGAAAGGGCGTTACGTGGTAGCGGGCTGTTCCTTACAGACCGAAGCCAAGCAGCAGGGGAAGAAGCGCCCATGACAGAGCACAGGCACTGCTACGCCTAGGTCACCCCCGCCCAGTGTTGGGCACCGCGCAGCTCCCCTGCCGCTCAATCTGCGCTTTGTTCCCCCGCAGCCTGGCGTTGCTACACGCAGCAGAGACGAGGTCTCCAGCGCACAAACCAAGCCTCGCCCCTTCCCTTGTGTCGTCACCCTCCCTCGAGCTTTCAGCTTTCCTTTATGCCCCGCCCTCTCCCTCGTGTCGTCACCCTTTGAAGCCCCGCCCCCCTCAGCCGGCTCTAGAGCCTGATCCGGGGCTGCAGATTCGCGCTGGTATTACAACGACTAGCAAACTTCTGTGGGGTGGCCGAGGGGGAGCGGAGCGCGCATGCGCAGAACCCCTCCCCGCCGCCCTTCTCGGCCGAGCCGAGAGTCCCGTCCCAAGTCTGGCGGGCGGAAGGGGCGGGCGCTGCGCTCACCTGGCTGCGGAAGCGTTAGACGTGGAAGCAGCGGGCTGCGGCCTCGGTCTCGTGGGTGGCACGGAGCAACGGCTCGTCATGGGTGAGCGCTGTTAAAAAAAAAGTCATGGGTGAGCGCCGGGCTCGGCCGGGCCGGGCTCCTCCGTTCTCTCTGCGGCGGGCTGCGCTGCCTTGCGCCGCGCTCTGTAGAGGTCCTGCGCGGCGGCCGGGGCCGCGCCGTCCAGCCCGTGCCCCAGCGCCCTCCGCCCGGCCCGAGCTCCCGGACAGAAGCTGCCTAGTCCGGCCCTTTCCTGACCCAAATCCATGCTCCTGAGCGGAAGCGCCAGCCGCTGGGGAAGCTGCGGCCTGTCCCTGGCTGGAGGGTCGGGGAGAGGCGGCAGGACCATGTGGTAGCAGTACCTGTGTCCAGCTTGGGGCATTTTGCAGCTTCTGGGCTTTGCTGCTTGCCTGCTCCCCCCTTTTCTGCTACCTTGTGTGTGTAGGTGCCGTTAGGCCTCCCTCAGAGGCACTGGGGTTGGTTGCAGCCCAGGCTGGGGGGTGCTAGTGTGCCTGCTGGGACCAGAGCTGGGGGGTCCTGGCCAGAGGGCCTTGCCCCTCTGCTCGGCGTCAAGCCGATTGCCAGATTTGGGGTCGGGGAGGAATTTCACCACATGGTCCAATTGGTACAGCTGTGGGGGAGGTCTGTTGCTCTACCTAGTCCTCTGCTGGGCTCTCGAGTGAATGTTCACCTTCTACAGAAGCAGGATGTTGGTTGCTATGGTGGCCCTGCTTTACCTGGGGCAGGTTGGGCTGCTAGGTCTGGTCTGGGTCTGGGGTCAGGGTGGTCTTACATAGAGTTTAGAAAGATGATAGATTTGTATAGGGATGATCCTGCTTCAGGAGGGGTTTGACCTCAGGAGGCCCCTTGCAGCCTCACTTCTCTGGCTGTAGGACTCTAGCCAGGAACCTCTGGGTTTCAGTCCCAGCAGAATGGAAACCCCCATCAAAACCCGCAGCCTTGGCAGCAGCCAGTGGTGTCCCAGTCAAAGAAACTAACCGGTAAAGCTGTGCTAATGCAAGGTCAGGTGTAGTCAAGTGCAGACTGCTTAGTGATGGTTGTTTGTGGTGTCCCAAATCATGGTGCTAACGTATTCCATGCCCAGTTTCATTGTACCAGGGCTGTTATCGATGGAGCGCTGGGAGTGTTGTGGGGCTTTCACATTCTTCTCCAACAGCCACTGCAGAGCAGCAAGTGGAAGACAGAGTAGGATGCTAAGCTCTGATATTTCTCGTTAACTTTTTTATAACATTATAGCGGTTAATGCTTGTGGGTGGGGATGTAGAAGTAGTGTTTTACATAGCACGATACATGTCTTTAAACTACTAGTCAAGGAGGATTTTTAATAGTTATATGAATTCTTTTCTTTTGTGTCACTTGCATCCACTAAGTATAGCATGGTGCCTGGCCTAGATACCATTTAAGCAGGGTTTATTCCAGCAGCTAGCTTAACAAATGGATTGGAGCTTTTTATCTCCCTAAAGAAATCTAATAGCCCACAGTTGCTTATTTAATAGCAAACTCTGAATCACCCAAGGCATCTTACAGATGTTAGGCTGAAAGTTAAAGAGAATGAAAGTCATGAGGCAATAACCTGATGCATTTAAAAATAGCTGCATATAGCACACAAACTCAAAAGTACTTCAAGATTAAATCCTGGGGTTGGAGGTAATGTGACTCACTATTTTTTTTTGTTCCTGTACCAGCATAATAGTGTCCACCAGAAAGCATTTCCCTTTTGGAACCTAAAATATTGGGCAGGTGGTATTTTGGTTTGACAAGGAGTTTTCTTCTCTAAGTACAACCATTTAATGTAAAGCTTCATTTGGGAATTCCATCTAGTAGTATCTTCTGGAAAGTCAAATTTTGAACACTTGCTCCAAGATTTACAGTGACAGTTTTTCTAGTTAATACTTGACCATAAAGATTAAAAAAACTTGTGCCCAAAAGGAAGTTGGGTAATTAATCTCCCCTGCTAGGCCATACTAGCTTGTCTTCCTCTGCAGTGGAAATGTAGTCAGGTAAAGTTACTAAAGTCAGAGGTTTCCAACCCCTGGGCTGCAGCTCGGAAGTGGGTCACAAAGGGTTGGCTGCTGGATTGGAAGTCCAGAAGTGACCAGAATACTGTGGATTGGCAGCCAACCCTTTTTTACACCGAGTATAGAAAAGGGTTGGCTGCCGGTCCACAGTATGCTGGTCCACAGTCTAAAAAGGTTGGGAACCACAGATTTAAGTCACCTCTCTGTTCAACCAGGTTGCTTCCAATCTAGATGAGCACTTCTAGAGATGGATAGACACTTGAATAAATATATTAATGCTGTTCCATAGTCTTAGTTTAGCAGGGAGACTGTTGTACAGTTAACACAAATGCAATTAGAGGGAAATAGAAATGCCAGAAATTAGTTCTTTGTCTCTCAAAGCTAGAGTAGCGGCAAATGTTAACTATAGCAGGAACACTGGCTGCTGCAACCTGGGCTAGCTGGCTGAAGTGGAACATCTGGAGGCAAATCGCAAGGGTATGGATGGCTGACCAGGCAGCTAACTTAGCAACAGCTTGAGCTGGTTCCAGTTCCGTCAGAGGGAAGACCCCTAGTATTGCAGCTGTACTTCCTGCTGCTTATGGTGATGTATCAAAGCTGTCAGACTTCCTGGTGGTGTTTCCACACTGTACAGAAATCTGATTCTACTCTGTTTTTCCTTTTTTTAGGGGGCTTTTTTTCGACCATCTTTTCCAGTTTGTTTGGCACGCGGGAGATGAGAATTTTGATCTTGGGACTTGATGGGGCAGGGAAGACAACAATTCTATACAGATTACAAGTTGGAGAAGTTGTTACCACTATTCCCAGTGAGTTGAACCCCCACCCCCTGCAACCTGTTTCACTACAAATAACTTCTGTTTCTGAAATGTGCACATGTATGAATTGTGTTGGCCTTGTTTCAAAGGGTTTCAAGGTTTTGGAACCTAATGTTACATTAACAGTATATTGTTACTATTGTGTGCGCGGGGGGGAGCTCTGAAAGAAGTGTTGAGACTTGCTTAAATTTTACCGTGATTTTTTAAGTAAGTTCCTATTTGCAGGGTATAAATGTGGAATAAGGTGTAATGGTAGTTCAGCAAAATCTGGGCATGAAATGTAGCTTTAAAATGAATTCTGGAGACCCTGTCTCTGTTCCTCATATCAAACTGCAGGGAAGGAAGTATGATAAGCCTATTCTTACTGCTTTATTTGACAGAGAAACCAGCTCTCTGAATCGTAGTTACAGTTGCATCCTGTACATATATTGCTTGTTTTGTAACTTTGAATTATTTTTCTTTTTAAAAACTGCATCTTTGATTTCTCTTGAAACATTCTTTGAATGCTTATTTGAAGCTGTTACAATCTGTTAAGAGGCACATACTTAAGTAATTACATAAGCTTTTAAGTCAGATTCTTCGAATGTGATAAGTAAATATTACAACACCTGTTTTAATAAAAACTTGTTGGAATGTTTTTCTCAAAAGCAGCACCAAAATGGTCTCTCTCTTTCAGCAATTGGTTTCAATGTTGAGACAGTAACATATAAGAATCTTAAATTTCAAGTCTGGGACTTGGGAGGACAGACAAGTATCAGGTAACAAATGTTACTTTATTAAGACTGAAATGGCAAAGCTAATTTGAATAAGGAATAGGGCCTGATTTTTTTTTCAGATGGTTGAGTACTTAAGATTCACACTTGGCTTCCAAAGTATTTGGCACTTCTGAAAATCAGTCCGAGTTGGTTTTGTGGCTTGTTTTTTGTTCAAAAGCAGCCAATCAATATGAAATACTGCTGTCTAGAAAGGTTTTTAGTCTTTTATGTAATAGAATTAAAGGTTGCTATCCCTATTTTAGATACAAAAACCAACTAGAAAGTGAACCCATGTGCGAACAGAAATACAGGTTTCCCTCGACAACTGCTGGAGTTAGGTTCCTGGAATGTTCCCGTGGTTGGCAAGACAAAAGGCTTACGGGAAAAATGGCAGGTGGCGGGCTGATGTGAGGCCATGGAAAACCATGGTTACTCAAAACTGTGTACCATGATAGCCAAAATGGGATATAGGTTAAGCGTGGATACTCAGAACTGGTTCGTGAGGGAAACCTGTATTAAATCACTTTAAATAATCCATTATCTTAGGCAATAGGTTGAGAGAGTGTAAACTAGTAGTGCTTAGTCTTAATTGCAGACGACTTTTTTTTTTTTTTTTTTGAATAGGCTATAGGAGTTGGAAGTAAGGTTTTCTCTTGGGGACCCAGGTGTTGTTAGATGCACTCTTTTCTCCCTTTCTGCTAAAGACCATTACTGCTTTACTTGGCTGCAAATGCTCTTGATCCTGAGTAAAACAGTTCTGAAATGACTTTACCTGTGATCCTTGTTAGTGGCCAGTCTGTTTTTAAAGAGTTGCTTAAACCACATCTTTTGCCTGCTTAAATGTTCTAGCTGTTGTCTGACCAAGAAAAATCCATGGCAGAGTTAATGTTTTTACACAGCTAGGCTTTTGATAAATATTGCAAAAGCTAGGGTCAGAAACAGTGGATTAAGATTTGCTGTGGTTTCCTCCTTTCAATAACTAAACTTCCTTTGGCAGAATCTCATTCTCCCAATAAATAATTATGCTCAAGTTGTTTTGCCCTCTCCCCCTTCAGGGTTCTTTTCCTTCCTTTCTGCTACTAGTTGTTCCTAGGGTCACTTTGCTGGGAGAAAACTTTGTCTATCCCTGGGTAAAGTGGGT